GGTTTCTATTGCAACCAGAATTCCATTTGGTTTTTTCAAGGTGGGATTTGGGGAAGCGGAATAGAGATTATGAAACAGAGAATGCATCCGTAGAAGCATTCTGGTATGAATTCCATACCGTCGTTGGAAGTTTTAGTGATTAAATTTTGTTTACCAGAGCGGGATAGCAGAACATTGTAGTTGCAAGAATCCTGACAGCACTTCTTCAGGCTAAATATAGATCTTCCTGCAAAGCTCTTCTGCAGCTGGCATTTATTACTTGATACTTGCGTGATACTTGAATGGCCCGCCCTCACTGGTTGTACAGGCCGCAGCATAATCTCCACTTTCCGCAGATTTGCTGGTTAGCCTATTACGGTTCCCTGGAATCCCGAGGTCAGCCTGGCCAAAGTCTGCACCAGGTCTTCACCACCACGGGCAGTCGCAGCCCTTGTGGATCAGAGGAAGATTTACGACCATGCGACTTTGATACCAGGACGGTGGTGGATCCTGGTATTGGTTTACTCTTAGCTAGGCTTTCTGATGGAAACGCCGGACACCTTTTCAGCTTGGGAGACCCTGCCAGGGAATGAATCCCTCGCTGTACATCGCAGCCCGACACCCAAGAACACCTAGCCACGATGAGGTGGTAAACCGTTGAGAGGCGCATTTATTACTAGTCGTGTTAAATGGGTTGCAGTAGGATCGAGCTTCAATCTTTTACACTTTGTCAAAAAAACCTTTTGAAATGAGGCGACGGGTCACGTGTGATAGTGAGGCATTCGCCGTTCCTGTTCACCTTTGAATTTTTGAAATCTGATTTTTGAAAATGAAATTGAAGTTTTTTTCCGTTGGTGCTTTTGATTCCTATGTTAGGATCCGCGCAGTCACTTCAAAATCATCACCATTGTACTTCTGTGCTCTATGCGTACATAGAGGAGTGCTTTGTCAAATTTTTACTTTCCCGTCTGGATGTTCTTTTATGCGGATACAATGTGGCCCCATTTCAGCAAAGTATTCTTCACGGTATGCTTTACATGAGATCAAGTATATTGTACCTGAACTCATGCAGTTCACGTCTCTCCTGTTAGGAGAGATCATAGGAATTTCTGTCATAGGAATTTCTGAGCTGCACAAACGATCACAGAGGCGGTTGCGAACTGGCTGATGTGGTAGCATATTGGGTGGGAGATGGATAACAACCGCATAATTTTCAAGAACAGTTTTGTTTCTGTATCTCTTAAAGGCGTAGCTTGTTTTGTTTTGTATAAAGAGTAACTTGAAAAAATCTTACTTAGATTTGAAACATTTTTTTTTCATTTCATATGGCTCGTCTTCATGTCTACCTTGCGGATCCCGACACTTCTCACATTCTATTCGTTTCTTCGCATCCATTGTCCACGAAGATCTTCCAACTTCTACGTGTGGCTTCGGTTGCTGCTTGAAGATTTTCATTTCGTCTTGCACGTCGTAGAATACTGATCGTGCAATTCCCCTGGAGTCCTTAAAGAGCCGGGCTGGTGCTTTCCCAATTGCATTGCAGAGAGCGATATTTTTTTTCCCAGACAAGTCCGGTACGAATCTCCCGACTCCGGAGGGATGAGAGGCTTAGTAGGCCTTGTGTGGAATCGAACTAGCACCATGCTCGTGACCACGGACATCACTACCACTGTGCTATCCGCCTCCTGTTTTGAAGGATTATTTAAAGGAATAACCCTACTTTTTGGCTCGGCTTGAGTGGCTTCTGCTTCGTAGCCATTGGAAATAGCTATTTTTTGCTTCAAGTTTATCGACTCTTTTCTTTCCTTTTCTCTTCGGGGAACTTAGCCGTTCGCCACGCGTTTTTGATGAGGGCTTTTTATGTGTACAGAATGAGAGAAAAGGTAGTGCACTAATATATTTTTACTGCTTGGTTATCGATACGATTTTCTTATGCAGCCACTTTCTCAAAGCCTTATTTGGATATCTAAGAATAGAAGCCAGTTCTCGGTTGGTTTTTCCCGCGCGAATCAAATACACTCTGTCTGTCTATTATTAATTCAAAGCACTCGTCCATATCTTCTTGTGTCGAACAAGGACTAGGCGCAAGACGAAGTAGTCGCTTATGTGTCGACAATGGAGTAAGTGTCGCTGATTAAGAAATGGTTCCTTCACTTTAGACAAAAGGGCAATAGCAAGGCTTGGTGCTAATAGCTGTCCTATGGCTAACGCTCTAATTTGTGAGAAACACCGATTCACTTCCTGATCACCAGTAGATTGAACAACTAAAACACTGCTTTAAGGGAGTCATCAGTTGTTGAATCGACAAACGATACATGTTTGTTTCCCTTTCATTTTCTACGAGCACGTTGAGAATGGATTCCATTGCGGAGTCATTCGACACGTTGGTATAAAGTGAAGTAGCATCGAGTGACTCCACTACATGTGTGCAGTTAGACTCGTTGCGCGCACCATAGCTGATCCAGGAATATTTCCGTATCAGGCAAGTGAGCAGTTTGTGTGAATTTTAGTAAATGGGCTAAGATAAAGCTTAGGAACCATATTGTTTTATCTATTGTCCTGCCTATACCACTGATAACTGCTCTAACCATAAATAATGACAGATCGGTGAACGCGAGATTATCAGTAGAAGTAAACTTATGTGTCTTAATAAGTAAATACGGTATAGGGAAAGTTGTATGGTTGTTTTTTAGTTGAGAAATGCCTAAAAGCTCTAAAACTGCTGCCCTTTCCGTGTTGACCCACTCTCGATTTAATTTTCGGTATTGATCTCTGTATTCCTTTTCAAAGGATGGTGGATGGAGAGAAACATCGTGAAGGTGTTCTTCTGTTTTTCTAACATCCAATTGACCAGTATAACTACAAATCCTCACCTCTATCACTGAAAGATAGTCGGATGGATTTCGAATTTAAAAGCCCTCTAACCTGGAGCATGCCACGTTTTTGCTCGTAAGTTTGGAGCTTAATTTTCTATGTCGATAATGGTTAAGTAATAGAAGAACTTCGCCCGAAAATAAACGGAAACTAGGGTCAATTTTGCAATTTGGTTGATTCCTAATTCTAACAGTGAACACACACTCTCCGGAAGAGCTATGCCTACTAACACAGTAGTGCCTAACAAAAGAGTAGGCAGTAAATAATAAGTTAAAATTGTGATGTCCACATAGTTCGGTAAAACATCTAAAGCACTAATGATAGTTTAGAGTAAAGCACATCCATGGTTTTGATGCGCAATGCATTTTAGAGTTACTAGGTAAAAGATGAGCAGTAGTGATAGGTCTCCAAAATTTTTTCTTAACTTGTTCTTGACATACGCAATTTTTTTATTTGGGTGGGTCTTCCTCGTTATCCTATGAGTACAACACAGGGGTGTTCCTACATACAAAACTACGTTGAGTAGTTTCCAGACAAAGTGGTGTTCGTCTAGAAGTCAACTTTTCATTAGTGCTTTAGATGTTTTATCGAACTATTTGGGCATCACAATTTTAACTTATTATTTACTGCCTACTCTTTTTAACGGCAGGGTATATATTGCGAAATATAACTTTAATGATGCTGAGATATTTGCAAAACTCCGGACGGCAGGTGTCTGCAGTGGGGAACGAACGCACTATTGTCCTTTCCGGGGTCGAGAGATCGTTAGAACTAGCCTGAGAGACAGACGAAACGAAGGACCCCCATGGTGTGGTGGTGAACGCGCTACTCCCCGGAAAAGACAATAGCGCGTTCGTTCACCACCGCATGCACCTACGGTCCGGAGTTTTGCAAATATCTCAGCATCATAAAAGTTATGTGGACATCGTTACGTAAAATACGTCCAGGCTGTTAAGAAGGCGAAGTCGCAGAAACGTCAGCTATCGGGCAACAGTAGCAGCAACAGCAACAACAAGTGGTACATACTTCGCTTCAGCACAAAAGTGCAGTTTGTGAGGATACTTCTGCACATATCGATTATTTATGCAGAAGTTTATAGAAAACCGCTTTTCTGAGTTCATTCTAGCGCTTTGCTTTGTAAATCTCTAATAAAAATGAGGAGAAAAACTTCTTACTTTTAAGTGCTTTGTTCTTTCGCTAGTAGAAGTTCAGGGCTTTTCAAAGCATTTCATTCTACGATTTTAATCAACTACAGGTCTTTCAGAGCTCATATCTATCGATGATGAAACCGGGTTCAATCAGAAATAGACATCTCGGCGCCGTGATTTCACCCTTCATGGCGACAAAATTTTCACCATCGTTTCTCCCGTCATTTTCAACTCCTGTTTTCTACCCAGTTTTTAATTCAGTTGTGCTGAAAATGAAATCACAGAGTATCTTCGCTGTTGATTTCCTTTTCTTTATTAACGATATTGCAGCCACCACCTCTTTAACAGTTCATTTCCACTTCAATTTTTTTTGGTGCGAAAATTTGATGCAAACTGGAGCTGTCACTGCAGAGGCCTATTATACAGCAACAAATAATCGCTGAATAATTCTTTATATTCTTGGTGAGAAAACACGAGGTGTTATTTTATTCTTCATTCAAAAACAAGCCGATGTTTCGGCCGATTTCGCCCAACAAGAATATGAAGGATTATTGGATCAGTGCCGAGGTTAATAGAAAGTCGGTTGTAAGAATCACTGATTAACTCCATTACACATAATATCGAGTTCCTAGTACAATGACTTTCGATTTCTTTTCAGCGAGCGGTGTGTTTCTGGGTTTTTAGGTCAAACAAGATCTCTGGCATTGGCTATTCTCAACTTTTCCATTAACGGTGTAAATATGTTAACCTTTCTTCCACAGTGCTCTTGCCACGTACAAACCTTCCGTTGTTGTAAATGCCTTAAAACCTCAACACGATGAGTCTCATCGGCATTCTCTTGATTGTTTGGCGAATTGTTACAAGACAATGTGGTATTTCATGAAATAAGCTGTTCGCATTAATACGCTTTTTAGTGAGATAACAGATTTTCAAGGTATCTATTCTGTGCATTAAAAGCTACATTTTTCACTAGTAATATCTTAGAACTTCCATCGAAGAATGCGAATCGTTTGTATTGGAGCGGCACCTACAGGCCTAGGGGCAGCTTATCGCCTCAGTGAACTAATTCAAGAGAGGCACGAAGCCGTTGAGGGTGTTGAAATGATCATTTTTGAAAAGGTAGGGTTAAGAAACGGAGTTTTCTCTCCATCATTAAGTAGGATGAAAAATTTCAGTGACTGAAAGTTCTTGAAATGATAACACAAAAGGAGGTCCAAAGATATTTATCTTTTCTTCGCAGTAAGACCTACCTTTATTTTTTCTACTATTACTATTACGAATTTTTACTTAAAACCTATATTTGCCATTTATGGATAAGATTTTGAAATACTGCACTTCGTAGAATTTTTGAAGCTTTTCGCGTCTTTTCACTAGTCTGGCGAAAAGCGCTTCATATGCATTGCTCTGACAGAAATCTACCTCTCTTAAAGGAACCTCACGCTGGTGGTCTTTCATGTACTGTAGAAGATGACAAAGGTTTTTTATGGGATATGGGCGGCCATGTTACGTTCAATCATAATTTTCCATATTACGAAAAAGCCGTCAAGTGGGCTGTCGATGAATGGAACAGTTTACAGAGGAATTGTATGGTGAGAATTTTTACTCATTACAGGAATTTCTGACTCGAATTTAGAGTGAATCCTCATACATTTGGTCTTACCATCGAAAATACAACAGTAAAAATGATGTGTTAATGAAGCGGTTCATAGATTACTGATTTTTTTTGACAAGGGATGTTCAGCATGGTAAATTATGCTCATTTTAGAAATGACTGCTCATAAGAATCTGTCGTTGTATTAGTCATGACTGTATGGATGAGAAACTCGTCTAATCAACATCTGGTTGACCTGCTGCTCAATCGATTTGTTTCTCCAGACGATATTAGTGCAAAAATCTTTAGTTAAGTAGAGAAAAACAGAATGAATAGAGCAGCTAGTATATAAGAACTAACCAACATCGCGAGTATTGTTGCTCATTCTAATCTTCTTGTAAGCCATTCAAAAATTCTGCCCTATTAACTCTGTTACTTTTATAAGTCTAAGTGCGAAAATTCTAGGTGGATATGAACTACTTATACGGTACGGACGGTATCCAGTTAGTACCGTATCCGGCACAATTCGCAGTGCCTCTATTTCCCGATGAAGTGAAAAAGAACTGCCTCCAAGAGTTGAAGCACCGCTATGAACAGGTGTGGGTGTTACATTGGAAAAAATTGTTTAATGAAATTATTTCTAACATTTGCAGGCCTCGGACGATACGCCTGAAACTTTTGAGGATTGGGTTATAAAGCACTTCGGACCCACTATATTAGAAGTTTTCTTCAAACCATACACAAAAAAGGTGCCTTTTTGAATAAGTTTTACTATTAGCTCTGGGTAATGCTACGCTTACGTTAATATGGAAATAACACTTAAAAGTCTGTACTATCTTAGGGTGTTTTAGTGAACTTAGACTTAGGAAACCTAAACAGGACAAGGAAGAAACCAAGAAATCTGAATTCAACATTTTAACTGGTGTTAGATTAACATAATTCCTCTCGACAAAATTGGATAGAGAAAAAGATAACGGTTAAAGAACGAACGAGGTCAGGGCAGTACCTTTTCTTACGGTTCTGGATCTAAACTTACTTACAACATTCTTCTATAAAGGAAAATAAAGGATAAAACTCCCCGCATTGAACAATCCCTGAGGGATGCGCCATGTATTCGATGTCATTAAGCAACGTTGGAGGTGATTGAATGTATATCTAGCCTTTACAATGGCTCACGGTGACCTACCGATGTATCAAGTCAGTGCTGCTATCCTCCCAGACGAGTCTGGTATCAGTTTGCTAACCCACGAGAGATGGAAGGCTTGATGGGGTATGGGTGCGGGAATAGATCCCACGTGTGTGTCGCAGTGGCGTCTCCGACCACTGCGCCACACGCGCCATTCAACATTCTTCTGCACTGAAAATAATAACTAAATGGTCGAAAATCCTCAGAGGAAACTAATTAGTGGACTCTAGCCAGCTGCCATAGTTGTTTACTCATTCATAACTCTACTACTGTTATTTGTCTAACTGCTATCTGCAATCAACTTAAAGTTTCTTATGGCAAAATGCGATTCCTTTGCAGTTTAAAACTTTTAAAAACTCCTTAATTGTCAGGATTTATGAGCTCTTAATAATTTAGAATCTAAACTATCTGAATGACGAATTTATTAAATTGCCTACTCTATAGATTCAACAGTATCATTCATATCGTTGAACTTTTTTACTTTCCAATAATACTTCTACTACTGCACCATAGTTTCCTAGTTCCGTACCTACGGCGTATTGCTTCTAATTCTGTTGCTCTTCGAAAGAGAGCTCACAGTTAGCTTACTGGGCTACGCTGTAGGTGACTTTGCCCATGGATAGTTCGTCGGTTTCTTTTGAAATAGCATTCATCCGAAACCAGACGTTCCTCAAATCGACTAGCTCTGTAGAATGTTGGGAGTTGCAGAGTCTACCCAAGAAATCAGATATTATTTCAATGTTGAGCTATTTTATGAGAATAAACCACTACTTGAAAATTTTGACTGGTGGGAAATATATCAAAATAGACTCTAAAACAAGATGTGTTCAGAAATATCAGGAGGAAAATTGTTAGCTTTTATGATCAATAATCAGTGCTTGTTGAATTTTCCATAATTCTTTAAGTCTAGAAGACCCTGTCGATTCTTAACAAATTTATGTCAAAAAGTGAACAGTTACGTTTCATGGACATTAAGGGAAACACTGGTATAAATATCCGACAGAGCTCTGTTTAGGTGTGGACCGTTGAGCCGAGCAAAATGTCACCTAACTGGGTGGGTACTCGCGTCGCTAAACTACCGCAAGCAAAACTGGAGGAACTGTGTGCTAAGAATAAGGAGGAATTGGCTGTTCGTTGTGAAGTGTTTTATTTATTCGCTGCATTTTCAATGAAAATCACTGTTTTATCTGCACATATATTTGCTCATCTGCCATTCATTAAGCAGGCAACGCTTACGTGGTTTGCCCATTTGTTGATGGCCAAGGGATTCAAAGTGACGTCAGCAAAGTTCATGCAGTTCCACTTCGCATGAGAGTTTCATATTGGTCATCACTTTCCTATTAATAGAAAACAATAGCACGATGTTTTCTATTCAAGATCTTCTTGAAGATGTAATCTTTGCAATTCTGTGTAGATCACCAATTCTGGGCAACGACTAGCCTTTAAATGTTCTCTATTAGCGAAGAATTATTTCCCATTCTAACGCCCGATGCACGAAAAACCAAGCTAGTGTGCCGGGATTTAGGGCCTTTTGATTAAGTTTCCACTGCTTATTTTTTTTTTATGATTTCTGCATTGTGGCAATCAAAGATGTTAATCGGGCGATGGAATGCCAAACTCTGGAGAAGAAATTGTGAAAAGGCAGAGTGCGGTGGCTTCTAAAGAGATCGATTGTTGGAGTTTCAGATGTCATTCTCTATATTAGGATGCAACACTGCCTTGATCTAACATTGATGAGCGGTCATCTTTATTTTACATTGTAACTGGCAACCTCCCCGTGGGGTTTCTGGTCCTTCTACGAATTTTGCAGCTTCAACTGATTTCACGACTCTATTTTTCCTAAGAGCTCTTTCTAACCCTCCGCCTTTCTAGCGCTTCCGTGAAAATATGAAGAAACCTATCCCATCTATCATCGATGCTGTCGACAACGATGTCTTTCCAGAAGAGCGAAAAAGAAGTAACAATCCCAATTTCTACATTTGAAACCTGACGTTTCTTTAACCTCATAATTCTAATTTGTGATTATTTTTGTACTTTTCCTCAAATTGTTCAGATCTATGGAGATTAAGTGAAAAATGCTTGGATTTTAAAATAAGTCGTATATAAAAAAGTTTAGAATGAGGACTTTGGATGGGGACCAAATTCATTCTTCACTTTTCCAAAGTACGGAGGAACAGGAAATATATGGAATTCAATGGCAAAGAAGCTTCCAAAGGAATGGTTCAAGTTCAACACTGAGGTATCTTTAGAACCTCCAGAACAATATTTCATTTCGCCTATATCTCGTTTTAAAAATCAAAAATAGCTTTATTCATTATTTTGCAATCGTTCCACACAGCTATTTTTTGAAAGAGGATATGGTGTTGGAAGGAGGAAAATTTCAATGTACGTGAAATCGGGAGTTGCCCATGGATAGCATTTTCATTTACCCGATGCTTTTAACTGAGTCTTTCTTGAGCGCCAAACGTGATGGCGGTTATCTTATTGCCTTCTATTAAATAATAGAACTTTTTCGACATATAGACAAATTTAGCGATGTGTTAGAAGGGCCCAGCAGGAGTTATCAAGACTCTCGATTCAGTTAATTGGCCTGGTGTCACCAGATCGGGTTAACTACAAACCAAAACGACCATACACGTGTCCGGAGTTTAACAGGATCTCAGGGGATCGGCTCTTGCCTTTCACTAGATTATCCTAAAGTTTGCATAAGCATTTAGTAATTTTCATACTATGCAAAGTGTCATTCAAGTGTGGAATGCATGTGCTAATCGCTTTGGATCTACACTAACAAGCACATCGGTGCATTTCAATAAGCTATGCGCTGATAGCTCTAGTACATGCAAAATAATATGATCTTGTTTTTGAAGTTTCCGACTGATTCATGTGCTTTTCCGTTTTAAGGTTATCGCGGTAGATCTAGTCGCCAAGATCCTACGCTATCAGTGCAAAAATTCAGATGAGGTTCGCGACATGGATTACGACGTTCTTTTGAGCGCTGCTCCAATTGATTTATTGCTCAAGCAGACGAAACTATGTCGAGAACTCAACATTGAACGTAATAAGGTATTGTCGTCGGCAACTGTTATCTTATAAGTGATCGTAGGCTAGCTTGCGGAACTTCCAACAAAAATCAGTTTTCATAGTTGCGAAATTTCCTTATGTATCTATTTTTTGTTAGTTTTACATGACTATTTCATTGCTTATAACACCTATAGGTCAAAATATTGCTGATAGAACTGCGAAACGAAGGGCTTGGTGTGTTGGTGAACACGTCAGCACCCAGAAAGGGTAATTGCGGTTTCGATCACCACGTAGACCCCTGCGGAACGGAGTTTTGCAAATATCTCAGCATCACTGTAGAATCATTTTATATCACTTATCACTATTGCCTTACTCTTTAGATACTAGGACACAGTTGTTTGGAAGTTGGGACACGTTTTTCATTATTTTTTTACTGGTCTATATATATATATGTATATACACATATAAACATGTTGCAAAGGTGTTCGTCATTGGTGTGGGCCTCGAGAAGCCGATGACGGAGTTTCTCGAAAAGTTCACATGGCTCTACTTTCCTGATCCAAACGTGCCATTCTTCCGAATTACAATGCTCAGCAGATACGGCGAGGTTAGTCTACTACTAAATAGACAACCTGATTATTAAGGATATTTTCGATCACGTAAATATTTGCTATATTATATGGTGCGGTGAAAAGAATTACATCATCATTACATTACAATAATTGCAATTACAGAATTACATCTGTTCAATTCTTTTCTTTGATGAGTTATTTACAAACGCTGACAGTGTGGTTTGTCTTCGAATTTACTGTAGTTGGATAAACAATGAAAGGGTAGAGCTCTCGGTGTTGATCAATCTCTGAGGGATGCGCCATGCATTCGACTTCATTAAGCAGCGTTTAGAGCTGACTGAATGCATATCTGGCTTTACAATGACTCGCAGTGGCCTACCGATGTACCGAGCCAATGCTGATATTTTCCTAGACAAGTCTGGTAACATTTTGCCGACCCTGGAGGGATGAAAGCCTTAGTGGGCCATGTGCGCGGGTGACGATTCCACGAGTGCCTTGCAGAGGGCCTCCGACCATTTCGCCACACGTGCCCTTACTGTAAATATAATTTAAAGAAACCATAGCTGTGGATAGAGCTACTATATGATTCTTTTTTCATGTTAGGTTTCACTTTTGTACTCTTTTAGCCGTAGCGATGACTGAAACTCTAGGGAAACGTCAACTGTCATGTGTAACTATTCTTCATTGTCTTTAAAGCTTGAGATGTTTCACCAAGACAACGTAGATTTTTTGCAAGTATGTTGCAAATGCTAGCATTTTACGTTTTCATTATAATAGCTTGCTTTTCCTGTTTTCTTTTTCTGAAGTCGCACTATGAGGTTTGTATCTGTCATAAATGTTGGCGTCTAGTAAGCTGAAATTTGTATTCTAACACATGATCACCTGTGGTCTAATAATCATTGGTTTGCACCAATGATTCTAGCTATTCCACCAATTGCACCAATCTAGTTCAATGTGGGAATTTCAAAATTTGAAATTGATTGTAATGATAAGCAACTAATTTCCCTATGATTAGCCAAGCAGTAGGTAAGTCACGAATAGACTTGGAGGCGGCGGATTGACCCCGTAGTTGGCAAGGTGAGCACTAGATTAGAACATATTGAAAGCAATAACACCGGGAACTCTTCACCATGCTTCTATTTTAAAAGTTATTCGCCGCAACTAACATTTATTTTTGTATCATTTTATTTGATCCGTCTCCAACTGTGCGGATTCCAGCGCTTCTCACATTAGATTCGTTTCCATGCAGCCATTGTTCCCGATGGTCTTTCAACTTTCTACGTGTGACTTTCGTTGCTGCTTGAGGATTCCCATTTCACGTTGAAATAGAATGCTGGTCGAGCAATTCTCTCTGGAGTCTTGAGATAGCTGGGCTGGAGCGTTCCCAGTTGGATTGCAGAGAGTGATTTTTTTCGTACGCAAGTCCAATACCAATTTCCCGACCCCGGAGGGATGAGAGACTTGGTTATCCTAGAACGGAATCGAACTAGCACCATGCTCGTGATAACGGACATCACTACCGCAGTGCAATGGGCCTCCTACAACTAACATTATTGTAAGTAAAGTTATCGCTGACGTCTCCTGTGTCGGCAAAGAAATTTCGAACTGCAATGGTAGTCGTCATCCAAATTCAATATCATGGAGATTCTGTCTCTCTTAGCAATTTCGAGGATTCCTTGAACAAACAGCTTTCGCATGCATCAGCTCGATGATAAGAAACGCTGCCTCGTCGCTGTAATACGGTAGCTCATCGACGAGATATGGATATTTATATTCTCTAAACCTAGCAATTCGTTAATTGCAGTATTTTCGATAACTGTGCATTATAATTTCTGACAGTTGAATGGGATATAATTTCAGGTAACTCCCGACAATAACAAGTTTTGGTCACTCTTGTGTGAATGCGCACGTCCTGTTGATGACACGGTAAGTGAGGGAGAACGTTCGCTACAGACAAAGGTCATTTAGAGTAAAGCAGAAGAGGAAACATGAAAAGGAAATCATTGAGCATCTGTATTTGGCATTTATACACCTTCATTTTAGAAATTACGGAAGTTGTTCGACGGAAGATGCCTTGAGATTTGTTTGGGATAAAATGACCTCGTTTTCGTCAAAAATGAATTTTAAACAAAGTTGCCGATAAAACAAGGGATAGAATTTCGAAGAACTTACTAAATAGGCATAGTTTCAGGTAACGGAGAAAGAGATCGTCAGACAGACAATTGATGGCCTTGTCATGAAGACCTTAATACGAAGAGAGCAAATAGTCTCGGTCTACTCAGCCACGTTACCGTACGGGTACCCGATCCCTACACCAGCAGTACGCGATTTCCTTAAAGAACAACTTCTTGTTGCACCTGGCGATAAAATGCTTCTCGATTTCCGTATTTCATAAAAGGGTTTAGTGACCGGTATTTATATGCTTTGATTGGTTATAAAGTTTCTAAGACGTTAATAGTTCAAAATAATGCCAACGGATTGTAGGCTTACCTGATCTGGAGCTTCGAGCTGGGATAACATTACCACTGCTATTAAAAACTAGTTCTCATTAGCAAGTATGGCAGAATTCCTGCTGTAGCCCACCAATCTCTGTTCTATAGCTGCAGTTCACTCTTATTTTTCAGACCTTACATTATTCCAGAGTGATGATCGTTATTCTCATTACTAAGGAAGAAATTCCTACAAAACATCTTAGAACTTTCACACGAACTGATAGGAAGATATTGCGGTTTAAATCTAACTTTTATTTTATTCAGCGTGATACCGAACTCACTCGTGTTCATCGCGATCTGGAAAAGCATTGCATATATTCACGAGGACGCTTCGGAGGATGGAAGTACGAAGTGTCTAATCAGGTAATTGTTAAACTGCTCAGTGCACATTATCACTCTTCCAATATGGCGTAGGCACGTGTAGCGCAGTGATTAGAACGGCTCTGCAATACATATGTGGCCAATGGTGCGATGATCTGCCCCGAGCTAAGCCTCCCATCCTTCAGTGGCTCAACAAATTGGTACCAGACATGTCTCGGAGAATAGCAGCACTTAGTCGATAGATCGGCAGAACATCGAAAGTCATTGTAAGGCTAAATATGCATTCATTCACGTCTAATGATACTTGACGAAGTCGGATGCATGACGTATTTTTCAAGGATTGATCAACTCTGAAAGCTTTATCCTTCATCTTTTTGTCTAGTAATACATCTTACCACTAAGATGATTTTCACCATGTGATATCGTTCCGCTTTGATTATTCCCTGGGAGATGAACCATGCATTCGACTCTATTCACTCCACCGTGAAGGTAATTGAATGCACATTCGGTTTATACAATGACTCACAGTGGCCTATTGATGTTTAAAGAAGATATCTTTTGTTCTTCCAAATAAGCCTAGTATCATAATGACGCCGGGGAGTTGGAGCCTTAGCTAACCCGGAGCCTGGAATCAAGCAAACGACGACACGTGTGAGGCACGTTTAGCCACTGTGTTGCTCGCATCCTTGAGGAAAAGCAACGGTCGGGAAACTAGTTAATCTTTTATTATATGGTAGTTTAATGTTAATCTATGCGAAATTTTACTCTATATGATAAATTCATATCTTGTAGTTCTTGAAAGCTTTTCAGGACCATTGTTTTATCCAAGGTAAGGAGTTTATTGATCGGGTGTTATTGAACGAGCCAGAGATACTCTATAAGACTGGACTTCCCGAAAAACGTGGATAATCGACAGTTCGCTCTAGTGAAAAAATTGTGAATTCTTCGAAACCCTGAATAAATATTGCAATTTCAATTCTTCATCATTATAGAAAAATGGTAGGGATATGAAGAAGGATAAGAAGTAAGTAGATTGTTTCGCAAGTTACATAGTGTTATTTAAAAAATAAAACTAAATTATTTAGAAAATTAAATTTTGAAATTATTTTCAAAAAATAAATTAAAAATATCTGCCACGAAATCATTTCTTGTTTTTTCTTCACAATTCGTTTCTATTGCCTTCATCACTAACAAGTTCTATGCTCTTATTGATTCAAAGAGCGGCTTCACAGAACATCCAAACTCTTCTGAATTACTTTATTTCTTGGTCTTAAGTAGGCTAACGCTTTGTGCTAGATTATCGCAAATTACTGTGATTGATTTTGATCCATTTTCACATAAATACTCCTTTCCCTCCTTTTTCAAGCGAGTTTCACCCAAGACCCATCGGCAGAGGGTCAAATGTTCATTGCCATGCCGTCAAAATACGTTGGAAAAGAAAAGCTTAAACGTTAATTGAAGTTTATGACGAAGAGAAACAAGAGCGCACAGGTAATCTACTAGGCATATGACAAGAACTCATGTTGCCACTATTGTCTAGAGTGTCCATGATATGGTTTATCTCCATTCAAACTAACGTTGCATCAACTCGGAATCGATTTGTAGATTGTACAATGCTGTTACTACGGCAGTTGTAAAATTCGATAGATGTGCTAAGAGTCCCAGCTGTATGGGTAACATAGTGTCTTTTTCAGGTACAGTTCTCCCGCTCAGGTAAAATGTAAAAAATATTATCCATAAAAGACCAGATGTTCTAAGTCAGAAAATGAAGGAAGCGCATATCTCGTGCCTTCTGGAAATTTGTCTGAGTGGATTACTAATTAATTGCTAGTAAGTTTTCGTACCTCAGTAACAAAAATCTAGTTATTATTGTAGTAAAGCAGTTCATCAACGACGATTTTAACAAACAATTGTGAAATTGACTGCATCTCAGCATTTTCGCGAAAACCGATATTTGACAGAGGTTGTATAGACGAGAACGACACAGAGAATGAAATTTATCAACGCAAAGAATGTTTATCAACCTCGTGTAAGCTTATCAAAGAAAGAGTACATATTGATTGATCATATCGAGGTTAAAGAAAAGTCGGTTTGAAATATTCTTATGCTCTATGCTAGCTGGTAATGATACCGACTTCTGCACGATGTAGTGTTTGGAAAAAACAAGTTCTTGTCACCGGACAATCACCGTCTACCACAGTTGTTTTGTGTAAAATAGTGAAAATGCTTCATTCGAGAGATGCTCTACTGAGAAAAATGTGACTCGACACGAAGGCGAAGACACCACATCGAGAAGGCGAACAAATGTGAACCACTGACTCGGATCAACGGCTCTGATAAAGCCAAAGACGTTGGAACTTTAGCCAAATAAAGATTGTTTATCAACATCGTGTAAGCGTGTCAAGGAAAGAATACATTTTGATTACTCATACCGACGTGAAAGAAAAGTCAGCATTGAAATACTTTGCAAGTGTTATAATAGAGACATTATTTTCATTAATAGTTTTAGAGTTTTAGTATGTATTTTGGTGTAAGAATCGAAATTTAATCATATCTCTCTACTTCTTTCTCTACTGGTTTAGATTGATGCGCATGACTATTGCCCTTGTTCTTGTTCATAACCCGCGGACGGTGACTGCTGCCGGCACGAGAGACTCGCTTTACTCGAACGGCTGAAAAACCAACAAAAATTTATGAATACTGACAAATCTACTGCCATAATACTAGAGTGGGTTTCGTCACTATACTAGGAACACCTTTTCCTTCTTCTCAATGCGGTGAAAATATCACCAGTGCAGCTCAAACAAATAGTTTCGAAACCATCTAACTTAACTTGGAATATCCAGGCAGTCACATCAAAGCATTGAGATGTAATGGAGTGTCTACGGGAGAAGAGTACTGATCAAATTGAAGTTGTATGGTTCTTCGTTAAGATGGGCTATTCAAGTACCAAGGCGCTAAGACAGACTTTGTTTTCAACATAGGCTCGATTGCTTCTTTCTCTAACCGCTTCGTTCGATTGGTCTTTGCCGAAACATTTTTTAATATTTTTCTTAAATTGTCCCATAACATCAAACCTCCACTAAAAAATCTAAGAAGTCTTAGGAACGTTTTGATTATTGCGGTTAACTGATTATTGAAAATGTTGTTTGCTCCCCATCATTATAACTATGATTATAGCAACTGTTCCCAAAATAGTTTCTATTTCTTTCCGATTTCCGAAATCCGAAGATACCGATTTCTATCTTTCTATTATTGTATGTTTCTGTAGTAGGGATCATATCCACTGTTTCTCAAGTTGCCTAGCAAATGTCGTAGTACGTAAATATTTTGATCCCATTCTAAGGAACTTCGATCGCCATAAATAGTCTTGTTATGCAAACTTATTTTTGCAATCTAAACTTGTTGTTTGTTATTACTGTCCAAAAGTTATCATTTCGTACAATAACAAGAAGGGTATAAGGATGTTTGCAAGAGCAGCTTTCGGACAGCTGATCTCTAGTTTTGAGAGGATTTGGAGACGGTAGCCGACGAATGTTTTCGGTAAAGATGCTGGACCTGTACCAAATACCGCCTTCTCCAGAAGCATGTTAATAGCCTCGTTAATTGCTATCCTGGTTCGCCCCTGTCAGGGTTCGACCGCCTTTTAGATCCGTAGCGTATTGATCTCGTGTGTCACCAATGTAGATTATCGTAGTTGTTAAATCATACTGGACGTAGTCATTATTGTACATTAACTTCATCATATCATTATTAAATGACAACTGCGAATTGTACATTAGTTTAGCATCACCGTCACTACGTCACGCTTCCCATCAACCCAGTGTATCTTCATCATCATCCTGATCCTTATCCTCGTGTCAATGTTCATTGTTTATCAATTGGTCTGCGGTGCGTTGTCAGTAGCGGCGGCTATCCTCAAATGCGTTCTGTCTGCAGTGCCATCGATGGCATGTACCATTCCTCCCACACTGTACGCCATGCGTACAAGGCCGCTAGGCGGCCAACTTATGCTGTGTATTTGTAAGCCGCTATAGGCTTATCATTTCTCAGTCGTTATCTTTTTGGCACACGATATCTCAGGCAATGGTGGCACCCATCGATGCTCAAACTTTACGTTGCAGACATATCGTTATTCAAGACCGCCTGACCGTGTTCCGCAGATGACTCATCTCGTTTGTAGTCACTTGCACCGTCAAAGCTAAGGTAACTTGCTATCGTCACCGATTAATGTGAAAGTGCACCTAACCGCTGTAGATATGATCCCAGGCACAGCCTAATGCACGGCTCTTATGTATCTCACTGCTCTGTTTAGCCCTCGGCGTCTGGGCCACTGCACGCGCCAGTGCGGGCGCCGTCATCCGCATCCCCTTACTCGCCATTGTTATCAAGGTGCTGTTATCATAGTACTAATGTTGTAATAGTTTGTAAAAGTATTATTTACAACAGTCTTATACTTTTGTTAGTCACAATTCAGTAGTAGGTACAGCACCTCATAGCCTTGAACTTGCATTATTTGAGTGCCAGTAGTTCTCTGTCGATATTACTGCTGTGTTGATGTTGCATTTATGTATACAAAAGGTTTAATTACCCAAGTTTGAGGTATTGTTTTGTGATAACTACGAAACGTCGCTCTTTTTTCCGTTATAATAGGCATAAGAAACTTCTTCTTTCATGTTGCTCACATCGGCATTAACTGTCTTAACGGAATTCATAGTATACCTACTGAATTTACTTGCTGTTCATCATCGGATCCAAACGTTAGTTCCGGTGGATTTTCATGTTGCCCAGCATCACGCTTACGAACAGCGCGTTCTGAAAAAGGTACACGTACATGTCATGTAGCTTAAATTATAACTTCGGTGGTGCAAGCAGCTCAGTAGTAGTGGCTGCTTAGTACGCTCAAGGCCATGGTGTGAACCAGCACGAGGCCAATTATGGCTTCTATTTCTCTTGGGTTGGTTGACTAACTGGTGTCAGACGCGTCTAGGAAGAGTTCCTACCACAAACTTTGGCGACTACCTATTATGAGAAGTTAGAAAGCAGGATTTCTTTTAGTTAGGAAGGGTAGCGTTGGATTTCGGAAAGAAGACATTTATTAAGACTAAAATCCTGAAGCAAAAGTGGAAATAACACATAAAACCTAAGCGTTTGTTAAATCACGAATCGAATGAAAAACTGCTGAGTCTCTCATACTATGAGCCTTTAGGTCGTGCAAAAGACTAGGACTTCAACTCTACTATAGAACAACATGAATCAATTTCTTTATGTCTGAATTACTCTGATCGCGAAGGTCACCGAGTCACCTAGTAACTCGTACACATATAGACCTGACTGTTTCTTCTCGTGCACCAGATCTGCTCATTGATCTCTACGCTAATGATGTCACGAAAAGCATAAAACTTTCGGTATGATTTCATGCTTTTTTGAACAGTTTCTAGGAAGAGGGTATTAGTCCGTGACCATAAGAACCTTTCGGGACACCGGTTTACTATTAAATGGGTTTCCCAGCGGAAGTCTTGAACAGGTGACCTTATATTCATATCAGTTCGACATCCAAGAACATTTCCTTATCTCTATAAAATAGTAAATCAGTCAGGAACGTGAAATTAACCACCTAGTTGTCTTCATCCACTTTTGAGCTACCTTGATGATCAACGTTATTTATGAAATTGTCGGTAACATTCGATTAAAATGGCCTTCCGCCTGGGTAATAAGCATTGTAGATGGAGAATCTTTCTTTTTTCGTATTTTAACATTGCGTTACTTTTTTTCCTCAGTCAGTGATTTTCTGATAGAAGATTTATGTATGGAACTATTGACTCACCGTGTTCATGCTCGTCATTGTTCGACGACGTAGATTTCTTCACAGAACCATGGTGTTCTGAAGCGCACTGGGAACTATTTTA